CTCTTCGACGACCCGTATGGTAGAATCGGTTGAAATTTTTCATCAAAATCATTTTAAACATATGTAAATGTAATAATATTGTGGTTACCTATCTTATGCGTGGTCTTTGTACAAAATGAATATATGTATGTATATACATGCATTCTGTCCTAGCCAGACATACTTATTATGTGTACTTATCCTGATTCTTTAGTTGATTAGTCAACAAACGATTTATTATTATTGTTAAATCTTTCGAATTGAAAGCATTCCCGTCAAATGTCAGCCTAGTATGAATTTATTTACACGCTAACTGTTATGGACATTATTGAATTAGAAATCTATTTTTCAAATATAATTAATAAATTCACTAAAATTGTATACGTTTTTTTTTCTCATCCCATTCGTTCTCATAATGTATGCACACGACTGCTGAAGGTTATTCATCTTTTTGTTAACAGATTATTTCGTCAGCATTAACAGAAACAATGTCCGTGACTTACTCATAAATTAGCTCTTCAAGTTTGAAAAAAAGTTCTTTGTTTGTCTGTCGGGCTCTAGAATCTAACAACGTTTTTGGCCCTTGAACTTTTTAGAGACGTTTCGAACTTATGAACTAATAAAAGAACGAGAAAGTTCATCGGCAAACAAACATGACCCACAAACGTCCGTACCTGTCTCCCCATTTAAACGTTTCGATTATTTTCTAAATTGCATCTCAAAAATAACAAGAAACGAGCTTATATTATACGTATCGATGCGCATATGTATGTCCCAGTTAAAGGAGGCTAACGAACCTCTTTAAAATCATTGTGTCGAAAATGGCCGTTATACAGAGCGTGAATGTTTACCAGGAGCCAATCTCGAATACAGTTAGATTAATTATACACCGCGGACAGCTGGGCAGATTCGTAAGATAATCGCTTTCGATTTAATTAAACTGTACAATATAGTTTGCCTTAAAAATCTTTTGCACATATACATCCATATAAAAGATTTTTGAGGCTTAAGATACTATTCAAATCAATGATTATTATATACAAATACGAGGTAGATATGTGTTATGTATATGAGGGTACATAATTATGTATTACGCGAGGCGCTGGCCGAGCGCGAATAAAGACAGTGTGTAACTGACCGCCCCGTAGTTTGCTTGCATCTCTAAATACATAACAGTGGCGACGAGGATAAAAAAAAAAACATAGTCAATTTTAAAAAGGAAAGTAAACATGTCTTCGGGAATATCCTTCGGTATCCTATCAACTTTCAATCACGACTCGCAAGATTGGAACAGCTATAAATCGCGTTTAAATCAGTGGTTTATCGCAAATGACATTACCGACGAAAAGGACAAAGCCAAGGTCAAGCGTCGTGCGATATTATTGAGTGCGCTTAGCGAATCAACTTACAAGCTCGCAAGCGATTTAGCCTTACCTAAACGGATCGAGGAAACAGACTACGAAGAAATACTGGGATTGCTTGATAACCACTTTACACCTAAACGAATTGGATTCTCGGAGAAGTCGTTATTTTATTCGGCGGTGCAACGAGTGGGTGAAGGTCACACTCAATGGGCGGCCAGACTTAGAGGGTTGGCTGCACACTGTGGATTTAAGAATTTGGAAGAAGCTCTGTTGGACAGATTCATCATGGGCATGGTACCGGGACACGAACGTGATAAATTGTTTACCCAAGATCAACGGGAGCTAACCTTGGCGAAGGCAGTTGATTTGGCAGAGAGCGTGCGATGTGCACGTCAAGCTGCCATGACGGCGGGGGCATCGTCGGCTGCAGTGGGCCAAGATAGCGTATTTACCATTTCCAAAAAAGAAAAGTGCAGCGTGTGCGGTTTTCACAAATCATAAAGCGATTGAGTGTCGGTTCAAAACCTATAAGTGTAAAAAGTGTAATAAGAAAGGTCACTTAGGTAGAATGTGCACGTTTAATGATAAAATCAAATTCGTGAAAGAAGGTAACATGGATGACGGAGACGATGGTAAGTCTTTTTATAATATTAAATGCGTTAATGGCGAGCCTATGACCGAAAAGGTGGATATTAGTGGTCTATTATTAGAATTTGAAATAGATAGTGGTTCCGCGGTCAGTGTAATTTCAGAAAAAAACATATAAAACACATTTTTTTTTAAATTGCCATTGTTAGGCACTAACAAAAAATTAATGGGCTATACCGGAAACCCGATAGAAACTTGCGGAAGGGTACGTTTACCAATTTCGTACAAAGGGAGAACAAACGATCTTAACGTGTACGTGGTACGTGACGGGGGCCCGCCTCTTTTAGGGCGTGATTTTATACAAACGTTTAAGTTGGAATTGGTTAGATCTCCCGCGGTGCATGCATTATATTGGGATAAGTCAGCCAAAAATAATAGTAATGATATTCAAGATTTAATAAAAAAATTTAAAAATGTTTTTTCTGACGAGTTAGGCGCATTTAACAAGTACGCTGTAGATTTACGTTTAAAACCGGATGCAAAACCTATATTCTGTAAGGCTAGGCCAGTTCCTTATGCGTTAAAGGAAAGATTGACAAGGAGATCGATCGTTTAGTGGAGATAGGAGTATTAGAGCCTGTACAGCATTCGGATTATGCGTCTCCAATAGTCGTCGTTTTAAAAAAAGACGGAGGCCTGCGGCTTTGTGCGGATTATTCAGTTACCATCAATAAGCAATTAATTTTAGAAAAATATCCGCTGCCGACAGTTAAAGATTTGTTCACTAAACTTAACAGGGGCATTCAATTTAGTAAATTAGACTTATCAATGGCATACAATCAATTTTTTTTAAACAATTCATCACAGAGCCTTACGTGCATAAATACACATCGCGGACTATTTAAGTATACAAGGCTCGTGTTTGGGTTGTCGTCAGCGCCAGCCATTTTTCAACGAGCGATGGAGGGTATTTTAGCTGGATTAGACGGCGTTATATTTTTTCTCGACGACGTATTAGTATTAGTTACGGGCGAAAATAGGCAGCAGCATATTCAACGTTTGGCAGCGGTATTACAACGTTTAGAGGATGCAGGTTTAAACGGTTAAAGCTTCTAAATGTGAATTTTTTAAGGATGAAATTTGCTACCTAGGTCATATAATCGACAAAAACGGGGTAAGGAAATCGCCAGACAAAGTTGAAGCTATTCTAAAAATTTCAAGACCTCAAAACATTAAACAAAACTTCAGTCGTTTTTGGGGTTAACAAATTATTATCGAAATTTTATACCACAAGCTGCATCAATCCTATATCCTTTGTATAAATTATTGCATAAAAATGTAAAATGGGACTGGACGCCAACACATGACGAAGCTTTTAATAAAATAAAAAACATCAGGCCACTGATGGCTATTTGGCGCATTTTGATTCCGACGCGGAATTAATATTAACCGTGGACGCGTCACCCTTGGGCTTAGGTGCCGTTTTATCACAAATCGGCAAAGACGGTGTCGAAAGGCCGGTATCATATGCGTCGAGGACACTTAACGTAGCTGAAAAAAAAAATACGCCCAAATTCAAAAAGAAGCGACCGCTATAATATTCGGAGTCCGACGGTTTCATCAATACTTGTATGGCAGATCGGTTCCGTTTATATTGAGAACAGATCACAAACCACTCCTCACAATTTTCGGTCCATATCGAGGTATTCCCGAAATATCCGCAAACCGCCTTCAACGTTATGCAATATTCTTATCGGCATACAATTATCGCATCGAATATGTTAAGAGTAGTGATAACCGTGCAGATTGTTTGTCGCGAGCGAGTTTCGAGGTGAATGCGACCCTTGATGCACCATATTCACGAGAGTTAGATCGCATCGAGGATGAGAAGGTCGTTGAGGATCCGGCTGCTTACGTAAATTTCGTGGTAGACGGTAGCCTGCCAGTGACCGCGAATGACTTGCGACGAGAAACCGACAACGATACTATTCTTAGCAAAGTAAAATATTTTATACTTAACGGTTGGCCTAAAAGCGTTAAGGATGTGCAACTTAAAAACCATACTTTAACATAAGATTCCAATTGTCGTACGAAAACGGTATTTTAATGCGAGGCCACAAGATAATTATACCGGATTCGTTACGTGAAAACTATATGTAAGGAGTTGCACAGTTCGCATTTCGGCGTCGTTAAAATGAAAGCCGAGGCGCGCAGACGGTTTGTGGTTCCCCGGTGTGGACAATGCGCTCGAGAGGCTGGCAGCCGCGTGCACCGTGTGCGCAGCGCTGCGACCTCTTCCGCCGCACGCACCCCTCGCCCCCTGGCCCTACCCGCCTCAGCCGTTCTATCGCATTCACCTAGACTTCCTAGGACCGTTTAACAATCAAATGTTTTTAATAATTGTTGACGCCTACAGTAAATGGGTAGAGTGCTATACAATGTCGAATTCATATGGAACTAGAGCGGTTATCGAGAGGCTATATGATTTTATGGCACGCGTAGGAAATACCCCATACATTAGTAACTGACAATGGCACTTCGTTCACTTCTCAAGTATTTAAAGAATTTTGTTTAGCAAATGGTATAAACCATGTATTTTCTCCTACATATCACCCTGCTAGCAACGGTCAGGCCGAAAGTTTTCGTTAAAATTATTAAAAAAGGTCTTAAAACAATAATATTAACTAACACACAAAAAACAAAATGCTACAACAGTATATTTCAAAATTTTTATTTGACTATAGGAATTCTAAAAACAGTACCACTAATAAATCGCCAGCGGAATTAGTTTACGGCAAGCCATTACGCTCGAGACTAGATCTAATTTTACCAACAGAAAAAAAAGTCGCCTCCCTCATCCTCAGACCTTATTCAAACGGTAGCACAAAAAACAGTACTTACAGGCTAAAAACTATAAAGGAACTCCAAGAAACGAATTTAAAATAAATGATCTAGTATGGATAACGAAATATACAGATAACAAAAAGTTTCATTGGGTTCAAGGCATAGTTAGGAACAGACTTAGTAAAGTAATGTATACAGTTTTTTGTGCCACAGCATAACTGTGAGATGACGCGGCATGTGGACCAAATTAGAGCTCGTACACCCGCATGTGAGCCCAAAAACCTTGAAGGTTGGAGTCCCGATGTCGTCCCCGACATCCAATCAAGCGCTCAGGGCAGTAATGATTGCGAATTCTCGGAGAGGCTTAATGTATCGTCGCCCGCACGAGCGGACCCGGAGGAAAAGGAGAATGAGGATATCGCTAGCCTGCCCCTGGATTTGAACCTCGCGACATCTCCTGCGGTGCCCGTCCCGCGCAGGCGCGAGCTGACACCGATCCGCTCCGACTCGCCCGGCGAACGTGACGATGATAGTGATGAACTTAACCAACCAAACTCATTCCTAAGCTTTTTAAAGATTTTTTTAGTTTAAGTTATCTCGATTTATTTATTCTATTTTGCTTTTCATTTGTTAATATTAGTTAATTATTCAGTTTATTCTTCCGTATTGTTACTATGGCTAAAAGGTGGAGGGAATGTTATGTATATGAGGGTACATAATTATGTATTACGCGAGGCGCTGGCCGAGCGCGAATAAAGACAGTGTGTAACTGACCGCCCCGTAGTTTGCTTGCATCTCTAAATACATAACAATATGACACTAGCCCAACGAAACTGAGGCACTCGTATTACAGCAATTGGTGTATTACAGATTGTAATTCTATAGACTGCTATCTCTTTCCCTATCCTAAGTTCTATATCATCTGTCACTGTCTGATCACTTGTATAGCGGAAACAATTTGCAAACTCAGCTCAGTATGGACATGCGTCATCAAAAAGTGTAAACACATATACACAGATTCAAATAATATCGGTACTCCATAAAAAACTTTCTGTTACTCGGGAAATGAGTCTCTAAAGGTTAATCGCAATTAATATTGCGCGCACCCTCTAATTAGAATCTATTACATGATTGAAGAAATGCAATCAAAGTATTGGATGAGACAATAGAAATTAAAATATTGTTCAAGATGAAATTGAAAAATTTGTAGAAAAATGGTCGAATAGTTTTTCTTCGCTTCGAGGATTTGAATCTGCGTTCTCAAAGATCCGTGCCTGACGCTTTTAGCTTAAAAAAATATTTTCCTAGAACTAGAGTAAATATGAGCAACGAAAAAAGTAAATAAAAATTTAGTGCTTACACCATTTTTGACTCAATATTTCTTTTACAAATCCTGTTTCACAATTAACTGTTGTCCAATTAGCTACTTTTCCTAATATTTTAAAGCTTGCTTAAGAAAAGTTAAATCATTTATTAATGTTCATTTTTATTTATTAGATTGATCGAAGATAGTTTCGGAAATTTTCGCAGGACACACGTACAGGACAAAACATGTATGGTATCATGACATATTTCGATTTGATAGATTTCTGTCCGAATCGTATTTACTATATAAAAAAACCTTACAGAAGATATCACGGCTGTCTGGAAATGCCCACATGCCATAATCCACCATGCAGCTATGTTGTAGGCTGGCAAATTCATATGCCTACATATGAACCAATATACGGGAACATTTCCCATTAATTTACTTTTTTTAACATCAATGAGTAGGTGACGTTTTCTTGATTTTACGCGAATATTATACATATTAAATGAAACTAGTTCACGATTTTTTTCGTTCATTTAATATGAATGAGTAGGATTAAATCGAGATATTTCAAATTATGGGGTAGGTAGTAAGAACTTACAAATTTCGAATGGTAGACACTTGCGCAATGAAACAATGTGAGATTAAAAAATATGAAAATCTATATGAAAAAAGTTCATTCCTGCACAAGGCATAGTCTTCCTATCCGATCGATACAGAGCCACCGCTTGGCAGGTGTCGTTAGCACTTCAACGCTAACCCAATTGACAACGTTCGGATTTTTCATTTATTAGTTACGACAACACGTCTAATGAATGCAGCATTCCTGTACGGCGGACTAGACCTGTACACTTGTGGGCAGTAGGATATATAATATGTCAGTCAAAATAATGGGAAACATGGTGGGATTGTAACGCCTGTGGAGAATACGAAATTTTACAGAAAAGCAAATAATCAAAAGCGTCTGACTGATTCAGACCGTGAAAAGGCAAATGTACTTACCGAGAGATATCAAATCTGCAGAACGCATTAAACTACACAAAGTGTTCGCAATAAGCAGACAATCGCACAGACTCGTGCCGTTTCTTATGTGAATCATCAGTATACATTATTACAGTAAAGATCCACATACCAAATATTATAATACAATAATTATCAAACCCGTCGCGTTGAGGTTAAGAACAGTAGGGGAAATCTTCAAAAGATATGTCACCTCTTACATGACAGAGTTATGTGGGGTTCGTACCCACTAAAACTTCCTCGGTGTTCACCTTCTATACCTGTACATTTAGAGGGAATCTAAATGTGTGCTCTCCTACAGAACGCACTGGCTTCTTTCTCAAAGTTTATCACTTCTATTAATTTCATGATGTAAAGTAATAAACATTAACGTAAAGTTATTAATATTATAAGTCGCACTACCAGGAAAAGGATTTATTATCATTTATTTCTTAGATTTGTAATATGACATTTGACTAATCGCTACACAACAGCTTGTGCGTGTAAGTGAAAATAAAGTTGTTACTGTTATTTCTAATAATTAAGTTAGATATAATAGTAATAATTTAGATCGATGTAGTATACGTATTGACTACTATACAACTATTTCAGTCCATGTGTACAAGCCCGGCTAGCTCAGTCGGTAGAGCATGAGACTCTTAATCTCAGGGTCGTGGGTTCGAGCCCCACGTTGGGCGCGGTATTTTTTTCTTTTTTAAATTTATGTTAAAATTATTTATGAAATGTCTGTTTTATTTTGTAATAAATCATTGTCATTAGATACTACCTGAAGAAAAGGTATATAAATATTATGCCAATCATGATCTCACGTCTTTTACGTAAATATCTTGCAATATGTCTGTTGCCAATGATCACATAATATCGCTTTGATTGGTGAGTTTACAATAATTGTTCTTATATGAAAATATCAGACGTTCGCGTGAGTCGAATTACGGACTTTTATATGCCCCCTGCTCTTAGACGCCCTATATACGAATAGAAACCATACCGTGGGATAATAATATGCTCTAATATATAACGCCCCAATTCAACTTATTTATGAACAGCGTCGTGGGCAACTTTTTTACCATTACAACTCTGCGCCAAGACATTGCGTATGTAAGCGAAACTCGTTCGCGCCGCCTCGTCCGATGAATATTCAAGGTCCACGATAAGGAAAAGAAAGCGTGTGCGGCACAGAGTAGTTTAACACAGATCGAACAATGACATTTTTTTATCTTATCTGAAGTATAAACATATTTACCGAGACGCATCCATTAAAACTGATTATCTGTAAATTTATTTAGGTAATAAATCTATATGGTACTACTCGTGGCCGAGACTCCATTGAACACTTAACTTGGAATTAAATTTGTTTAAGTGCCACGTGGAGGCTTATTAATAGATGCACCTTTTAAACTGAACAACACCAATTAAAAAATATAAACATAGTAATTTAAAATAAAATTAATTAATAGACGTAACGTAACACTAGAAATTGCATAATTTTTAGATGAATTCATTTGAATATTTCGGCTCTGACATTATGATTTATAACGTAATCAAATCTTCAATCAAAATATGCGCAACAAGCTATTTATACTAAATTAAAAAATAATTAAAAAAAACTCGTAATGTTTTATAACACAAATTATTACACTAATAAAAACAATGGCTGAATGTTAACTGCGTTGGCAATAAATTGACCGCATGCCAAGTTTTCAAGTTTCAAGACAAAGTCAAGTTGATGGTCATCACCAGTGTTTTTAAAGTGATTCAAGCAATTGACATTTGGCATTGAGAATAATTGAGTAATAAGAAATAAGTAGCACATTCAAACGCAGGTATGAAATAAAACATTTTTCATAGTTAAAATATTATATGCTAGAAATAAATGGTCTGTATCTCAAAGGAGAGTAGTGTAGAGGCTCTTTCTCCAACTATGGAACAGAATCTTAATAATTTTTGACATCACTAATATATTGTCTTTTTCAAACATTATTTGAAGATTATAACTATATACGCACATATGTAATCTTTGTGCCACGCATGTTTTCTACTCAAATGATGGTAAATAAGGATTGTGAACGCACTAACCGTGTGACAGCCTATTCACTCTTGCCTTGATGACACATTATAATCGGAACAACCGGGAAAATTGACAAAAAACAACTGATAACCTTTGCAGAACGCACTACGAAAGAGGAGGCGAACCTCTGACGGCGTGGAATGTTAAAAGAAATGTAAAATATAATAAAAAATAAATAAGTGTAAAATAAAAATAATGTTTAAAAAAAAGTCATAGAAAATAAGATGGAGACGCGTATTATTGTCCGATGAAGGAATGAGTAGTAAACGTGCCCCCATTTCTCAAGAAATAAACTTACAGAAATATATATTTCATATTTATTTTATACGCTTTACATAAAACTGTTGCAACGCCTACCACAGTCCTACTTGTGCGTTAATAGTTATATCGCGATTTCTTAGGCATTCTGTTCCTTATCTTCACTGTGAGCCCAATAGGAGCGTGACGGATACGCAAATAAGGCGCCGTCTTTACGAAACAACGTATCCTACATAATGAGAGGAAACTATTTGTAGAGCTTTTATTCTATGTCAAAATCACTCATCGTATTTTGGCCGTTTTTTTGGATTCGTACCCATAAGGTAAAACGGGACCTTATTACTAAGACTCCGCTATCTGTCTGTCTCTCTGTCCGTCCGTCCGTCTGTAACCGTTATGGTTAGACGGTAGTAAAATTTTCACAGATGATGTATTTCTGTTGCCGCTATAACAGCAAATACTAAAAAACGGAATATAACAATTAAAAGTGGGGCTCTAATACAACAGATATATTTTGTTGTCGTTTTTATAGAAAATAGTACAGAACCCTTCGTTCGCGAGGCCGACTCGCACTTGGCCGGTTTTCGTATATTAATGCGTTCCCTTGCCCAAGCGCTCGGACGGTAAGGAGTTTCCGGCGTTCGATTCCGAAGTCAGCAAAGGAAAGAACACTTATTTTTCTTCCGGTCTTCTAGGTATTCCTTGTTTGCGTACAAAGTTGGTCGTCAGCAGTTTTTGCGTATAGCGTTATATAATTTGAACAACGCGGTGTAAACAACTTGCACAATCGCTGTTGACATGAATAGAAGTAAAAACATTCGGGGCTTTAACGCTTGCGGCCTGTTTCAATTTTTCGAAGAAACAATTGAAACGATATACTGTTAAGCCTACAGTAGCTCCGATTAACGGCGGAACCAAATATTCGTCCGTCTAGTAACAGCGAATACTACAAAGAGTTCTTTCTAAATGCAGCGAATTTATGTTTAAGTTAAACGCGATGGTACCCGTGATAATAGTTTCAATTAGTAGTTTTCGCGTAAATACAAGATATCGTAATGCAAACTTTTTTCCAGATAGCGTTAAACAAATCAACTGGTAATGTTCTTTTATCTCTTATTTGATCACATCGCGGATTCCAATTCCAGCATTTGTGAATTCAGTTTTTCAATTTTAACGATATAAATACATAAAAAATAACAGTCCATATTTGTTCCATTGCTGGGCAAAGGTGCAGAGGGTAATTAGGGCATAGTCCACGCCGTCCCACTGTAGATTAGCGGACTTTACAAATACTCGAAATATTTTTTTTGATAATAAATACATACCGTTAAACAATCATATTATAATGGGAAACTAAATCATAGTTATATGTGTAGTAAAAGGTTTACCTAAATTTTTAGCTCATATCATGTACATACACTCCGGATCACGTCTACGAGCAGATACTTCATTCTTAAATTGAAAGACATTAAGTTTTTACGCTGGCGACTGTACCATACCCACGAACGCACACAATAAGTCAAAGAATGCTGTTTAGCACTTTCTTGGTACGAGATATTTCCACAGGTTTTTGAGCGTGTGGGCTTTAGTTTGTTTAGGCAATGTTAGGGGACGAGATGCGCGTCCCTCCGTCGCGTCAATCCAATTTCCATTCACCACTTTCCACTTCGTATTAATCAATTCTATGGCGCCGAATAAATCAATTGGGTATGCAAAGTTAAAAGAGTTCTTGATTAATTTGCACAGGAAGTTCGTTAACACGATAATACTGTCATCGACAATATTTATTATGTAAGGATGTTTTCGTTCGTAAATTGAATGTTGTCATAACTATCACCATAACACTATCGGTGTAAACAAACGATGAGGAATTCGTACAGCTCGTGTTAATGATCGATCCCATGACGTTTACTGTATATAGTTTTATATAATTACTATGCTTTTATATTGTGCAAAATAACAGGATATTTACGTCACACTGCTCAGTACTCTCAAAAGAGGGTGTTAAGGCATAGTTCACTACGCGACATTATTGCGGACTGACGGACTACACATATCTTCGAAATATATATTTTTGTTATTATTTCGAACATATGCAGGCTTCCTCGCGATGTTTCCCTTCAACGCTGAGCAAATGATAAAGTCAGCACTTAAAATTTACAATTTCATTAGTGCCGGCACCGGGGCTCTAACTCAGGTTACTCGAATATATCGATTTAATTAAATGCAAACGCCCGGACAATGAGCCATCACGTCTATTTACATGTGTTTACAATAATATTTTGACATGATTTTATTAAAAAAATCAATTATACAATAATAATTAATCTATACATCTATACAGATAAATCAAATTCGAGTGTCTGTTTGTAATATTAAAATAACCGCTTTTTAGTAAATGCATATGGATATACACGGTACATATACCATAATAAAATTTAATATAATTTTTGTCCGTCTATCTATCGGTCTGTTTGTTCGGCTAATCTCTGAAACGGCTGAACCGCTTTGGACGGGACTTTCACTGGCAGATAGCTGATGTAATAAGGAATAACTTAGGATGCTTTTATTTTAGTTTTTTTTTTTATTTTAAATTCCACGCGGACGAAGCCGCGGGCACAGCTATATAAATGTATACAAATAAATAATATTGAATTGTCTGTTTGTTATATTAAAATAACCGCCTTTTACTAAATGCATATGGATGTATAGGTTACACGGTACATTTTGACCAAAATAATATTTTTTAAATTTTTTGTCTGTCTATCTGTTTGTTCCGGCTAATCTCTGAAACTTAGGCTACGTTATTTTTTTTTTTTTTATTTTAAATTCCACGCGGACGAAGTCGCACAGCTAGTCTTAAATAAATTAGCGCGTCAACTGTAAACGTAGATTGTGACAAGTCGACTTTGGACCAAGGAAGCAACGGTCATTGCCATCCGATAACAAGATGACAAGCGATCAGCTAGCCGGCTGTTATTGATAATTAATGAGGATGACATTAATATCACATATGCGTACACATACCTATGTCGTATTCCTTAACTTCGACTCAAAATCGAAATGGTTAGTAGAATCGATTAGGTTACTTTCTCCAAACAGTGCCTTACCATCAGCGGTTTACAAAGTACTAATACTTTGAGGATCATTAGACGGAGGTTGATATGCCGGAGTCCTTCGATAATTATTTAAAACTAGCTGTACCCGCGACTTCGTCCGTGTGGAATTTAAAATAAAAAAATCTAAAATAAAAGAAATGTAGCTTAAGTTACTCCTTATTACATCAGCTATCTGCCAGTGAAAGTCCCGTCCAAATCGGTCAAGCCGGTACAGAGATTAGCCGGAACAAACAGACAGACAGACAGACAAAAATTGTAAGAAATGTTATTTTGGTATAATTATGCACCGTGTATAAATCCATATGCATTTAGTAAAAGCGATTATTTGAATATTACAAACAGACACTTAAATTTTATTTATCTGTATAGATTAATTATATTATCGACTTCATCAGAGACTATCTAAAAGTAAAGTGGAAAATTTAGAATGCTTATTAACAGTCAATTATAATAAGCAAAAAAAAAAATAAGCAATTGTGAACGGTCTCGTTAAAGTGGATGATATTATAGTAGTGTATGCGATAAATTTCTAGTGGAAAAGAAAAGTTACTTTTCATTTTTACTCCAATATTATGAAAGAGTACATTTATGTTTAACTTAAACTTCATTTATCAAGGGAAAGAGCCAAACTATAAGTAATTTACAGTATCGGTATATGCTTGAAAGAAAACATAGTTTATAAGATATAAAATATTACAACGTTTAGTTCCAACTTCTTTGACTACTATTAAAAATCAATCAAACAAAACTGGAAATTCTAAATTCCAATTTACAAGAATCGTATACATTTATATTTGTCAACACTAGTCACGGTTCAAAGTCGAAATCTGCATATCGATTAGTCAGCATAAACACTTACTATCGTGTTTGGCCATTAAGGTTTGTTTACAAATGGAGTTGACATTCAAACACATTTGACACGCATTCGCGATTGAATCGCTTATCATAAGCAAACGAAAACATCGCGTCACCGTGCCGCCGAGGCTAAAGGTCGCGGATATTGCAAATGGAATAAATGTGTAAAGTTTTCATTCAATAAGCGTTTAGGTCGGTTCTATATACCTCTGCACTGCGTTAACATTTTCTTTTTTTTTTCTCTATAAAAAAAAATCTGTAGAAAAACATAACAAGTATAGAGGACATTGTAAATTTTTTTTTTGGAAATTTTTGTCGATAAATGAACAAAAACTTAAGGCGCTGCGGGATTCGAATCTGTGTTTTCGGGTTTAGACCACTGTTAGAACTCTTTTAAAGACAGATCTGGGTCTTATGTCCTACTGATAATTGTTCCGGAGCTTGATACACAAAATTATCAGAACGCCACACTAATTTTATATTATGACAATGGAGTGGCTTTATAAATTCAACCAATTTATAAAGACACTCCTAAAGATGTGTAAATTAAAACGTAATATATATTGGAAAGTATGATGTAGGTAATGTTGATTTTATTAAAAGATGGCAAAGAGTCCGTGGGCAGCGAATGTCACTTAATATGAGGTGAACCGCCAGCTCTTTTGTCACCTTTACACATAAAAATATGGTCATATTTTTAAAAACGTTTAAATATGAAATAATAATTTATAAATTTTAAAGTTTTTTATAGTGCTAATCTCTGCACTTAACATTGAACATTAAAGAGCGTCAGGCCGCGAATGCCGAAGACGTGGGTTCGATTCCCACAGCGGCGAAAATCTTTTCGTACTTTTTCTACGTTTTAATAATAATTTATATATAAGAATTAGAAAAAAAATATTTTGTGTGTATCTTTTCTTTTATTTCGCAACAACAGTAGAATATTTTACGCAATAAGTACTTTTGATTTTGTTTTACCTACGTACCTAGCAACTAATGACCTCGTTAGAGGCATGCAGCATATTGGACTTTGTCCTAATCTTATACGATCAATAAATAAATTTTAAATTCATTACAAAAATTGTGCCAGTCACCAAGACATAGCACGCAGTTAGTTAGAGGTATTCGGATAATACCAAAAGAAGTTCAACGTGCTTCAAACGTACTTGACCTTTCACATTTATTTGGGACAATGTACGGTGTCAATTGTCGCGCACAAATGCAACTGCTTGCACAATAGTGTACTTGCATTCTCGATCTAATAGTGTCGCTTTGTCTTTTCAGATGGATAGCAGTTCAGAGGCAATGGAGCTGCGAAGGGAGCTCGACGCCGTCAAAAGTGCGCTGCAACAGCAGTCGGAATCTGTGCTGAAGCAGCGGCACCAGCTAGTTGAAGCTGGACAGGCGCTCGCCGCTCGCGATAAACGAGCTGCTCAAGAGAGACGTCTAAGACAAGACCAGTTGGCACTAGTTCTACGCTCTCTCGTCCTCCTAGAGTCCCGCCTAACCAGAGAACAAAAACAAATCAACATATCACTCCAACAGAAGGACAAAATCATCAAGTCGCAACAGGAAGAAATATTAAAACTCAAGGCCCGGAAGTCCTACTGCAGCAACTGCCAACAACTCCTTGGCTTCACTAGTGAACAAACAAATATTGAAACTGACCCAGAGTTTCAGAGCTTAGAGAGCACGGATTCTAGATTTCCAAATACATTTGTGAGAAGTTGCAGTTATCGCGAAAGGAACTCGCCCCCGGTTTTTCAAAAGAACACGCGTTTAAGTAAAAGCTTTCAATTGCCAAAAAGCGATGTTATTTATGGCAACACAAGCTCTAGCGAAGAGGGCAATACTGCGAGTATCGGTAGCAAAGGAACATTCATTAAGAATAAACAAGCGTTCGTAAGGCGAGATGTCTTTCGCAGGTCAAGGAAATATTCAGGGAGGAAAAATAATGGAAAGTTCACCGATAATACACAAAAGGGTTATATCAATCAAGCAAACAATAGTAGTAGTGCTGAAGAATGTATAAGTTTGGGCTATCAAGTCAATCAAGATGACAACGATTCTACTGTTAATCTAATTGCTAATGACATTAGGCGAGCATCGTTAAAAATAGACCAGCTTATCGGAGAAGCAGCCAAAAAAGAGCTAGAAAGCACTCAAAGCGATTCCGATAAGACGTATTCAACAAAGATGGAGCGATTACACGGTATAAAAAGACAGGCCTCCGATGAAATTAAGGCTAATAGGCAACTGTTTCTTAATAACGTTCTAAATGAAGAAAGTAATGAAAAACCATGGTATTGTAATGTAAGCGATCCAGAGCAGGACACGGATGGTTTAGACCAAAGAGTTTCATTAAATGATAAATCGAACACGAACAACGAATTTGTTATCGCAGATATTAATGGCATTCGCAATGCAGAAATAATCTATGCTAAGAACGACATTTTATGTGATAATATAATGAAAAATAATATCAGCGATGACTACAATTTAAAATTCGATGATAAGAACAATAATATAGAGGGGAACGCGGCGAAATCCGCATCTGTTACCGAAATTAATGAAAATTGGTACGCCAGCACCAGTGATGCCGATGACAGTCCCCCTAATGAAATTTACAAAAATAACCCTGTACTTGAATGTGTTAATCAGATTTTGCTGCAGAATTCCCTCGACGACAGCAGCAATGACAATTCTAAATCTAGTGAATCGCCAAGTCCCAAATCAATAACGAAGCGTGTGCAATTTTCGACATTAAATAGCATTTCGTACGACGACAAAATAAGAATCGGGAGCAATAGTAACACTTTACCAAGGACTGACAAAAGGGCAAACAAAATCGTTAAATTCAGTCTAGAAACTGCTTCCGAGCATAGTTATGGAAGTGCCCAACACTGCTCAAGGATTTCAGTACGAGATACAAAGTATATATAGCAACGAATATGAACCGATAGTGACAAAAGGAGCGGAGCAGAAACTTGCGCCGCTGCCACGTGCGGGGTCTAACACAGAGAAAACCGTCCCCAAAATACGAGGATCAATGGTTAAAAACATCGCTGCCAACATAGAAAGTCGGAATAGTTTAATAGAGTCCAGGATCGACAATAGTCTTGGATCGATGAAGATATTCAACAAAAGAAAAGTGCCAAGAACTCCTCCAGCACTGCCGCCTAAGCCAAAGAACCTATCAGCCAAACTAAAAGCTGAGAACCCTGTCAAACCAGCGACAGAACCGTTCAACTCTGAAGCCGTTGCGGCTAATCAACGGGTTGCAGACGTTAAGATGGGGAAAGTGGGACAAGTAGCAAATCTCAAAAGTGTTGAGCCGGACTACTGCTCCATTTCAGAGATAAATGTTCCAGTAGTCAGCAATGGTAAACGGGAATTGCTACTCATACAGCCAACGGTCGAGATCCACAACGAACAGTACCCGGTGCACTCGGCGAATCAGAGGAACAGCGTGGCTAAGGTGATATCCTTGCCTAGGATCCAGAACAGAATTAGCGACAAGGACATACCGAAACTTCCGCACGTCACGGAGATCATCATTCCCGACGAAGACGAGAAGCCCAACGAGGAAGTCAGCCATCCCTTCCCCAAAACAACTGATGGTTACTTGGCCAACTTCAACATGCACCCGCTGCAGCCGAAGCTGGACCCGCGCGCCTCGATCCAGATGGGCAACACTGTCTCGTCGATACTGTCCGAAATCAACAGGGGCGTCAAGTCGGGCGCTAAGCAAATCAACCTGACCGATTTGGACCACCAGTTCAGCCCGCATCACGGCGCCGAGAAGGCGCCAGCCGCCAACGGCCCGGAGCAACGCAAGGCGGACTACTTGGACGACATCGACAAGTTCGACCTGTCGCAGGACTTCGAGGAGTTCAAGATAGACGACGAGCTCGGCAGCGTTGCGGCGGAGGAGTACCGCATCAGCTCCGGCAGCAGCGACGGCTCAGCCGACGTGGTGACGGAGCACATCGACACCGTCGCGCCCGACACCGAACGCAACCAGCGCAGCGACCCAAACGACCCGGACGGCGGCGAACGCGGCAACTTTCTCGCCGCCAGCGAGGGCGCCGTAAACAGGGGCCTGCCAAAAAATGCCAAGCTCTCCAACAAGCCCGACCTGCTGTCGAACATCGAGAACTTGGAGACGGACAGCGTTAGGAACTCCGACATAGAGTCGAGCAACTCGTCGGGCAGCAACAGCGGCTCGTACAACACCGTGAAATGCGAGCCGAGGATGATGGGCGGCATTGAGGCCAACGCCGGCAAAGCCAAAGGCGCCTTCGACTTCTTCCTGGAGAGCTCCGGCCTCAGCTCCAAGTCCCTGTTCACGCCGAGCAGGAACTACCTCAGCATGCGGCCACCCAGCGCCAACCACAAGAGCGTGCTGAAGCCGAGAGACGTGAAGATGCGCGTGAAAAACCCAATCCCCACAAACATCGAGAGACCGATGACGACCGCTATCAAATATTTCGAGCCCTACGTGTAATTTAAATACGAAATGTATTTTTTTATTGTTTATTCCGTTTAAGATGTTTTAATTTTATTTATTGTAGAAATGAACTTGCCCGCATAATATTAACTATATTGTATTTATGTTGAATAGAATGTATTTTGTAAATATTTTACCTGTTTTAGATGTTTCTCGAGAATTAAATTTATTATAATACAAATTCGATTGTTTAATTTAAATGTCGTATCATATACTATATAACGCATGTATTAGTTAAATGAAGTTTTCACAAAATGTTAATTTAGTAAATAGTAAATGACTGCATATATCGTTCAGTTACCAAATTGGAGTACAATTTTATAAAAACAAGGTATTATATTGTACGACATACCTTCAAAAGGATTACTTTGACAATATTTAATAGGAAAAGACAAAGTTCAGTTTGTACATAATAATTTATTTTACTGTCTAAAATTATTTACAATTGAATATACAATTAATATATAAATTTTTGCACTGGGTTTCACAATTTCTCGCGACTGCAAATCCGTCGCAACTTTTTCTTCATGCTGCACAGCATCGGAACCTTTAGTTGTTTGAAGAAAGTTGACCTTTCACATGTATCCTTCAAACATTCATTCAGACAGTCATTATTTGCGGTCGTTATTTGCGGCAAACAGTCATTATTTGCGGTAAACACATAACCAGAAATGTTGGCTTCGTTTGGAGATAGTTCTTCGAGGCCGGAGTCTATGGTGCTAACTGAAGGCACTCTAGCGATTGAGATATTTGAAAAGGAATCGCACCTCTTAATATTGCTCTTGCTTCTTCTTTCTTCTAAGCGAGAATAAGGCGTACACCGACTTCTTTTAATGGTCTTCAAGTAGTCCTCAGAAGAAAACGTCGTCGTATGACTGTCCACTACTGCAGGAATACACGTATTATTTTCTTCAAAGGTATCCAAATCCACCGCTTTACCCCATTTCCTGTCCAGGGCCCGCCAAGCAACGGTCAAATGTAGATGAAGTTCCATTATAATTAATAATATATTATTAACAGATGCTATCGGTTAAAGAGCAGATCGAATTATGATTAACTCGTTCTAAATTGTAACTATTTATATGGTTATGTTTCCCCCACCCCTAAAAAAGGGTTAATCGCCGATTACTCGATTTAATCGCTACTGCCATTTTAATTAAAATTTTGATGAGAAAAGTAATTAGGTAATTAAGAAGTCCTGGTATATTAATTAGGTAATTATTTATTGATTTGGTCGACAGATTGGTTATATAATTAACACGATATATTAAATCAACATGAATTAAGAGAATTTACAATATCTTTTAATTTATGTACACGGTAGTCCATTGTGCTGCTCAACTACTGTTTCATTTAACCAAAAGCTCGGTAACCTGCCGTTAAGACGGCAGATTGGGTAATCCGAATAATGTTTAGACAATGATGTAAAAAGGAAAAAAATTAGTCGTTGATATTTCAATGGCAATCAACCTCTGGGATTGCCACAGCGGCGACAAATTTTTGTCTTCAGTGCAGAGATAAGCACTATAATAATTTAAATTTATAAAAAAGCAATGGCGACATCTCTCGTTCGAATTATCGTTGTAAAACGATATGTATAGAGATACCAAAGTTAAATACCGGCGCGAAATATTTTATTGCTAAAAAAATCTATAGAATAAATACATAAGCGTTTTTAATGTAATATCCGTAAAATAAATATTTGGACTGCGTGACTTACTGTTACTTCTAATATTCACTGTACTGTACAAAGCAGGCTGTCACCCACGTTGGGACATCTAGTATAAATTTATCTTTTTTATCTCTAGTTTAATTATGTATCTGTTGCTTAATGAAATTTCAAATTCTTAATTTTTATCGTAATGCCGAAAGAGCTTGCTGCATTTACCCGATTGCCTAAGAAGGGTAAAGATATTCGCGCGCACGGAGTACTATTATACAGGGTGTTACAGAAAGATGTTGTAACATTTAAAGCCGTGTATATATATCAGACTTTGAATGAAATGGCATAATTTTAAAATACGAATCTAAGCATTTTTTGACGACAAAAATTAAAAAATTAATTAACTGTAACAACCCTGATTGTAGAAGTCACTGACCGCGCATCGGTGTTATCACTCCAAACTCACACACGCATACATCTGATCGCCCGACTTATTCCCCTCTCCCTCCACTCCCCGTTATGTCATTACCCCACCTCGGTAACCTTGACCCCACCCGTCGCTAAACTGCCATGACGACCGCATCGCGCTGCAATTCGCGGCGATGCTTAATAATAAAATCTAATTGACTTTTCTTTTGATTCCTGAATAAGTATTCACTATCGGGAAATTAAAGTAAGACACTGTTTTTATTACTTTTATTATTCTAAGTACATGTCCGCGTCGGACATAAAAACAATTTTTACATGGCATTATTAATAGTATCCTATAGACGGTCAAACATATCCACGATTTTAACAATCACTTATAACTAATTACTATTGAAATTTTGGAATAAACATTAAAGGCTTTACAATGACATTTTGAAAGGTAACAAATCCTACAACGCCGATGAGTTTATTCAACACGACATCTATGATACATAATCGGATAACAATAACAAGAATATTTTTTAATTAAGATCAGTGTAAGGTATAAAATGATGTTTATTAAATACCTAGACTTTCTAATGAGATCAGCGTTTACTGAGTCAACCGCACACCCGTGCTTATCGGTTTCAGTTAGATAGCGGGCCACTATTATTTCACTGTAATAGCATGTCAGAACATAGACATTGTCACAACTTAAAACACACCGAAGTCCGAATAAAAATTCCCATAAAACCGGAGCGCTTCTTCATTTGCAAACAAACGACGCGTTCACGGTCAGGCGCTTCGGGGCAATCGCTCATTCCAGCTCCTTTTTGTTAACTCAATGATCATCAGATCTAAATTTATTTCAGCATTCTTGCTTGCTGTTCACTTGTTTCGGCTTGTGGCAAATGCTTGTGGTGCAGTTGGTGTGCGTCAAATAGTACGCGCATACGTCCGAACTCCAGAACATCTTTGCAGAAATAATTCGTAGGTAGAAGCGACAGTTGCGTCAAAAGTTGGTGTACTCGTAGTAAAGTTCAAAATAAATCGATGGTAGTTCTATCCGCAGCACTGAATAATATCATGTAGTAATTACTGAGCATATGACTATGTCTGTGACAACTTTTATCAATAATAAATCGATAATTAAAAAATAAAAATCATTAAATAGACTTCATGCCTAAATGGCTGGAGAGTAACTGATTCGACAATTTAAATAACACAAAGAAAGCGACTTATTTACCTACCAAAGCGGCTTATGTAGTTAAACACATAAGCAACGTTTGTGCAGGACTACTTTGCCGCGCCGACAATAAGGTTACCATGTCTACTGATTAAAATATTAGGACGGGGGTTTAATAGGCAATAAAGTAATAAACTTTTTTTTTTTCGGTTTCTTTTAATAGTATTTTACCATTGACTACTACAAGAACTAATCAAATAACACTTTAAGAAACTAATTGACCTTCTTTAAAATATCACAAAATTCAAACATAACCGTTTCGACTATTTAATCGCCTTACCTAATTTAGAAACTTTTGGACTCATTTGCAAGTATTTTATAAGTTATTTTTTATTTGTATTGTTTTAACCATTCCATTTCACTACTTCAATCAAGGCGACACACAACGCTGGAAAATAAAAAACCTTAATTTGATTATTTACAAATCCATGAGACAGTATGAAAATTTCTAATAAAAATACTAAAGTAATACTAGCTTGCAATTTAAGTATCAATTTTTCTAATTTTCTAACTCAAAGTAAAGACTAAGGAAGATCGGGATATTCCGCGAGAATCGGTACATCTGGTAACTGTACTTGAAACGAGCGCGGTAAGTACAAAGGTGGTCTTTGTTAACTGTTACACGCGCCGACAATCCACCTAACTTAGATTGATGAAAGTGACATAAAGGTCATTCAAAACACGTGTAATTGGTTCGAAGTATCACAACTGATAGTTTTGGATCTATGAAATTCTATTTTTATACTTTTATTTCTGAAGAATTTGTATACACTTATTGTGAATTAATACATGGAATTTTATACTGAAGCTAATAAATAAATTTTCAAAATATTCATTTTAAATAAGACCTGTAACATTTAGTTCACTTCTTGATTTATATTGGTTTGTAATTTTATTTTTTTTTCTTAAAAAAATTCCCTTAATTTAGGATAAAATTATCCTGTGTTGATATCCGTATCCCTATAGCCGTGATAGCTCAGTATCCGGGCACTCGCCTTTAATTCAATACACTCGAGCAACCTGAGTTCAATCCCCGGTGCCGGCACCAATGAGGTTTTTAACTTTAAGTGCTGACTTATCACGTGCTCCGCGGTGAAGGAAAACATCGTGAGGAAACCTGCATATTTTCGAAATAATAACAAAAAAATATTTCGAAGATATCTGAAGTCCGCCAATCCGCAGTGGGGCCCTTATACCCTCTGTATAGAGGCCTTTGCCCAGCAGTGGGATATGTATAGGCTGTTACTTTACTTTTTATCCTATGTTCTAAGGACATTTTACAAACATAAATTTCACGCAGACAAACACCCAGATGCGAAAGAAATATCTGTGGGCCACATAAATAGTTGTCCCGTGTGGGAATCGACCCCAAGATGCCTGACGCCGAAGCCTGATCAACTGCGCCACGTAGTCATTGAATTGTGAAACGAGTATTTTAAATCATATTTTCATTTTTGCTCACAAAAATAACAGCTACGATTTGTTTATAAAACCTACCAGTCGTCTGATCGAATGTCGTGGTTGTAACATGTAACCGTTACTTTACTATGCATAATATTTTTTGTATTAAAGGCTTCCTGCTCTAAAATAGTAGAATAAAGTATTGATTTGGTAAGACAATAATTATAAAAATCAATGAGACAAGACATTTATTATGTTTTTAAAATTTTAGTCTAC